ACCAATTCAATGAATTGTCCAGTTTTACTTCTAGTATTGATTTCTAGTTTCATTCTATTATGTTTAGACAAAATAGTGTGTATGATTTTAGTCTTTAAAAAATTTCCAGATTTGTTTTTGTTACACAACATACAGTCTATCTTGGGAAATATTCCAAGAATACTATGTCTCTTGTTGAATGGGGTGTTCTATAGATGTTACGTCCAGCTAGTGTATGATGTTCCAGTCCTCCATTTCTTTACGGTTTTGTCAAGTTATTCTATCTATTACTCAAAGTCAGGTATTGAGATCTCCAACTATTATCATGGCCTGTTTCACTATTCAGTCCTGCTAAATTTTACTTCATAAGGCTTGAATTGTAGCTCATGGAGCATATGCTTGGCTCATGTGAGATTCTGAGCTCAATTCCCAAGTCCCATTCCACCCCACCAAAAGAAAAAAAAAGCCTCATATATTTTAGTATTTTAGTGCTCTGTTGCTGGATATGCACATTTATAATTCTACTCTAACATCTCGATGAACTGACCTCTTTATCAATATATAATGTCCTCTTCTGAACTGTTTTTAAGTGGATTTTGTGAAATTACATTGAAAGATATTTCTTTGACTTCTTTATAGATTACAGTTGGAGACATTGGAACAGTTTTTAAAATTCGTATTGGCCATACCAACTCTGGCCACTCCCCATCCTGGCACTGTAAGAAGGTAAGGATATATCAATAATATTCTCTGCCCCCTTTTCTTTTTGCAAAATTTTCTGCAAATTTCTCCAAGAAATTAACTCTCAGGGAGACATTTTATGTCTACAGCAGGTTGATATGTCAAACCTGGACCTTTTCGGTCAGTACATTTCTTAAGGAAGTAGTATCATATGCCCTTATCAATTCATTAATCCCTAATTGGTTGGGGGAATTTCCTGAAATAAGCAATACTTTCACTTCTATTCAAAGAAAAGGAAGTCCTGGGATAATACACTTGATAAACTCACATAGCATTTTTTTAAAGAGCTTTATAGTTATACATGGTTGGGTTGATACTGACAGAATCATACATGCATGGAATTTGACTTCAGTTCACATTCCCCCTTTTTCTCTCTTTTTCTCCATCTCCCCATTCTCCTTCCTCTACTAATCTTTATTTCTCTCATCTATTTATTTATTTTTTAAAGTTCATAGTCATATTTACTCTGCAAACATTCCTGAAATGGCACACTTATGGATCAGAACACTTTAAAACATTATAGTTCAATAGAAAACCTTAAAAAAATCTCAAAATACAAACATATACACAGTATAAAATATATTCTTGGCCAGTCCTTGCCCCTGGATGAGGTATGTTCAAAGATCCTAAACAGGTTGAAGTTGGCCAGGTAAAATCTTAATTGGAAATTAATATTGAGCCAAAGTAAACAACCTGTATGTTATATCACACCTTTGAACTATTCTTTATGACTGAGTAATTGAGAATTGTTCAGATATAGTTTGTTGTTGGAGAGATTTCTCAATTAATATTTTTATTAAGTAGGAAAAAGAACTAATTTTGTTTGTAATAAAATACTGAGCCCAAGGATTTCTAACCTGTCTTATTAGATTATTCTTTTTTTTAAGATTTATTTTAATTAGGTATATATGGCAGCAGAATGCATTCTGATTCATTGTACATAATGCAGTACAACTTTACATTTCTCTGGTTTTATGTGATGTAGCATCACACCATATGTGCTGCCATACATGTACCTAGGGTAATGATGTCCACTCATTCCGCCATCTTTTTTGATAGATCCTTTCTATTTTTACATAAAGGTGAAATCCACTGTAGTATATTTAATATATGCTCATAGCAAAATTTTTAAAAATTTATTCCACAATTTTTCTCCCCTTTCCTATCTCTCTTCTCTCCCTCTTGATCTCCTTCTATTCTACTGATCTTCCCTTTTTCCTTATGATATCCATTCTTCCCCATTATCTTTTCCTTATTTTTTTCTACCCTCCACATATGAGAGAAAACATTTGACCCTTGATTTTCTGAAACTGGCTTATTTCATTCAACAGGATGTTCTATAGTTTTCATCCATTTACTAACAAATTACATAATTTCATTCTTCTTTATGGCTGAGTAAAACTCCATTGAGTATGTACACTGCAATTTCTTAATCCTTTCATCTATTGACAGGCATTGGAGTTGATTCCATAATGTGGCTATTGTGAATTGTGCTGCTTTAAACATTGAGATGGCTGTATTGCTGTGGTATGCTGATTTTAGCTTTTGGATAAACACCAAGGAGTGGGTCATCTGGTACTTACATTCCTACTTTTTTGAAGAATCTCCATACCCTTTCCAGAGTGGTTGTACTAGTCTGCAGTCTCACCAACATACACATAACTTTTTGATATACTTGCATTAATGATGAAAAGATGTCTAGCTATATAGCATTTGCATAAAAAGTTTATTAAGATATATCATTGTATTGATGACTTCATGATATACTAGACTTGAATTCCAACCCTAGAATTTAGTGTGGCATACTAAGCAAGATACTAACCCTTGAGTATTCTTAAGAAGGAAAAAAAGATGAGTTAAATTTTCTACATTGTTTAGAATGAAAACTCTGTTCACTTTCTCCATCACTGGTAAATGCAGATCTCTCAAACGGAAATCAATACGGCATGTCATCCATTTTTTGTTATGATATATTTACATCATATAATTTCAAAATAAATGATCTTTAACTAAACCAGTTCTTAGAGAGCAGAGAGTATCTAGTTACATATTCCTGATATTGTTGACAAACTTGTTCTTCTACAGTTTTGGAATATGTGAGAAAATTAATAGAAAATTCATGGAAGATGAATAATTACTTAAGACAGACTTTTTATTCTACCAGTAGAAATGAATAGTTGTTACTTATGCCATCTTCTCTACATTAAAGTCACAAAGCATCCTGAAGCAGAATGAAAAATTAATATAAAATCTAGTTTGTGAAAATATAGGATGTGGATGTTAGATTTCAAAACTCAAAATTATTGCCTGGCTTTTATATGCAATAATGTTCTCTTTTATGCCATATAGAGCTTTTGATGTATGCTATTAATGCTTAGTGTGGTGGTATATGCCTACTATCCCAATGACTCAGGAGGCAGGAGGATGACGAGTTCAAGGCCAGTCTCGGTGATTTAGAGAACACGCAGCAATTTAGCAAGACCCTGTCTCCAAATAAGCAACAAAAACAAAACAAAACAAACAAACAACATAAAACAAAAAAATGACTGGGAATTTAGCTTAATGATAAAGCACCCCTGAGTTCAATCCCCAGTACCAAAAGAAATAAATCATGATATTCAAATTGATACTTTTAATAATTATATAATATCATCTTTTCCCTTTTTCTCTGTTTAAAAACTGATTATAAAAATTATAATTAATGATTATACTAGCTCATTTGATTGATAACCAATAAGAAATATTATATTCATTATAATGTTGGGATGCTAAGATAGTTGTTAAGTTGTCTGAAAATATTATGTACTATTGCAGAGGAATGATATAAAAATCAGTCTGAAAATTCCTATTCTCTTTCTCTCCATGATAACTACTTACTTTTTGCAAGACAATTTGTTTGCCTGAGGTTTACCTCACCTCTATTTGAGTACCAGTAAAGAAGACACTCTTTTTGGGATGGAGTTGCTGGGGATTTAACCCAGGGCCTCAAAGATGTTAAGTATGCACCCTACCACTGAGCCAGCCCCCAAACATTTCTTAAATCAAAGTTTAATTCTGAGTGAATAAAATCTTCATGTAATTCATCTCAATTAATATGCTGATAATAGGTTGGAATTTTTCTGTTTAGTTTTTATAATTCAGTTTAGAAGTTTGAAGTTTGACATTTTAAAGAAGCCAACCTATACCTATAACCTGAAGGGATTTGAGTGAAAACTCTGCTTTCATATATAATACCAACAGTGATACAACATTTCCATAAAATAATCACATTGCTTTTAGGAACTTAATTCTTTCACTTTTAGTTGGGGAAGAGTACAAGATAGAAAGTTAAAAATGCCGGTTTATTTTCTGTTTCTCAAATGATTAGTTTTGGCCTTAATAGTTTAATTGCAAACCAATGATTATTCTCCGTGGTTCTCAGGGAGACTTTCTAAAAGTGACATTGTGTCTGAAGTGTACTTGGAATGCATTTATAAATGTGAATTCCTGGATCTGTGTGAGACTCACAAACCTTAAAGTATTAGGTCCTGAAGATTTGCTTTTTAATGATATAATTTCTAAAATACATTAAATTACATCATTAAAACTCTTAATAACATAAAACTTGGGAGAAATTGGCATGTTTCATATGAACATTTCAAAACAGAAAAATTACAAATAGAAACATTTCAAAATAATAAAAAGAAATGCCATTGTACAATAAAAGATCAAATTGGAGTAAAAAGAGTAAATATGCTTTTTTGGGGCAAATAATCCATAATTTCTTATATTAAAAAATGTAAAATGGTTTCTGAGCTAAGTGGAGTGTTTGGACAAATTTTGTTGGAGACTTTGATAGGAGATTCTTTTGCAAGTAATATTGTTGCTATCGTAGATACAGTTGCAGAACATGAATTCTGGAGAAGAGTTTTATATACCTGTACAGCGATGGTTGGCGCGAGATCAAGAGGATGGAGAAATCTGCCGAGAATTGCCTCTTATAAATAGAGGACAACCCATCCTTCCAGGTAGGAACACTCCAAACCCAGGCAGCACAAAAAAACCCTCGTTTGCCTAAATGTTGAAGGACAGGGAACTCAATGAATGCATGAAGAATAAATGAATGAATGAATGATTAAGGACTGCTAGTTTCTTATCAATTACCTCTGCTGCTGTGCCAGCTGCATCTAAATGTGCTTTAGTTGTTTCACATGCTGGCATTCAAGAATATGTTCTTGTCACTGTTAGCCCTGTAGGAAGGTCAACTAAAGTGCCTCTCAATCAAAACAAGAAAATTAATTCTTAGAAGGTCATGAGAAAATTGAATGTCAAATGAAGCGAAGGGCTAAGGCATGCAAGTTAACGTGTACTTTTCCCACAAGGTTCTACCGTGCTTTTGAAAATTGATCTCTTTGATCAGGAATTGAAAACACAACAGCTCAATGACTTTCTAAACATTTGCCCAGAAGCAGAGATATGTTCAAGTTTTATGTACTTGTGGCTGAGACTAGTTTTATCAAGTGCGGCTCTTGATACGCTTAGAATTAGGTAGTGACTGTTCCCCACCACAAGAATCCAGGGTGACCTTGTCTATAGAAGCTATTTGTTTTTGGGGTCTAGTTACTAGCCTATGTTTTGGAAGATAATGGGAAAAAGGTATATGAGAATTATTAAATTGACAATTGGTAAATAGAAATATTTTTCCAATTTAGGCGGTGTCCTGCCATAATGTTATCTTGTAGTTTTCTAAAGAAAAAAATAGTAAAAGTATTATCTGCAGAATAAGAAGAGACCCACAATATCAGATAATCTGACATTTGGCTTACCTATTTGTGTAACTTTCTGATGGAACGTAGACTGGTAAAACATTTGCGCAGACTGATAATTTCCCTGTGGTTTTTAAATAAGGTGCGCTAATAAATTTTCTTGGGTTTCTGAAGCTAATGTATTTTGAAGACATGAATAGCCCCAATTTACTGAAAAGTGAAGATTGTATGAGCATTGTTCTCAAAATTCATAAAAGATTTTCTCACTATTTGTAAGTATTTTTCTTACCATTCTTCTTTATCATTCCACATGTACCACCTGAAAGAAGTTCACCAGGTACCCTATTCTATTACTATTAGTAAAAATTTAGGGGTTAGAAATGATTTAGAGGCTATATTTGCTTTTTCCTCTCCCCATTTTAATTGCAAAATTCTGATCAAAAGAGACGTACTCTAGAAACACATACTGATTTTCTTTGCTTCCCCTGTAGTGCTTGGTATTTATTAACAGACATTTTTCTTTTCAATTTCTCCACTTGGCTTGGTTTTCTAACCATACTCTATCATGTGCTTTGTATACTCTGTGGTAGGTTAGGGATAAATGAAGTAAATGGGTAGCTGACTCTAATAATTTTTATCTAATATCCTAGCAATGATTGATGTGATATCTGAAATGATGTCATTATAGACAAGCAGCAGCCTTCACTAGAGGTAGACACATCATTTCTTAGGGATATAAATAAGGCAAGCTTCACTAGTATATATATATATATATATGTATTTTGCTATATTTTGTTCCTTTAAGTTCATGAAGAGTTATGGTAGTATTTGTTATTTAAGACAAAAGGAACTCTGACAGAATTTGCCTGTTTATCAGTATACTATCATATATGTACCTGAAAAATACGTTTTCTCCAGTGGTGGTGCATGCCTGTAATCCCAGCAGTAGG